AACAGAAGCGTGTTTCTGTCTCTCTCCACACAAGCATTAACACCAACACTAACATTTAGAAAATGGTGCACTACGATCTCCTGTTAACGGCCGATGTAATGCAGCTTTAATGGAAAATGAATTACTGAATGGACTGAAAATGTTCTCACTGTATTCTTCACTCAAAAACTGCCCGTAGTATCAGATCCAGTTTACTAAAATCTCAGTTTGCTGATAACTCACAAAAGGAAACAGGATTCATGAAAAAATACTGCAAAAACTAATATTTATGTGCTGTAACCAAATGGTGAAATTTAGCATGATAAAGCAAAAGTTATGTTTAAGTTTTCCAGTTTGTTTCAATTATTCAGGCTAAAAACCAGGTTAAATTATTCTTAATGAGGTATTGTTAAAATATACTGCACAGCTTACATCCTTTTAGCGAAATAATATGAATATGATACATTACCATGTCGTTAATAATTATAATTGCTGTTGGTTAGCCACTCCAAACTGGATGAAAATGGTGAAGCTGTCCCTGTCATTATAATTGGGTGACAGTAGTGACATCAGTAAAGAGTGTGGGTGGGACAGTCAGGCAGAACAGGGAGGAATCTGATGATTTAGCAAGATTAGCCTGAATTATAACAAGGAAGTGAGAATAATCTGAGTTACAACCCAAGAACTGACTGGACTAGAGAGGACTCTTAGCGAGGTAGGAAAGTTTTCAAAACAAGAAAAGTCAATTTTGTATAAATAAAACTTAATCTTTGTTTGTATTATGAAAACAGAATTTAATTCTCTGATTATATTTGACAGTGTTCAGGAATTTAATTTGAACCGGATTTCACACATACACACAATTGGATACTGTCGATGTAATTCAGAATCGAAAACCTTTATAACATCCTTCTTTACTCCTTTACATTAGTTTGGTTACTATCAGCAAAGAAATGTCTGCGGCAGTAAATTAAATTTCACTGTCTCTTGGTGGAACAGGAGAAAGCATATGATTGGGTGCCAAAAGAGGAACATGACATGAGGAAGTCAGGAGTAGCAGAGAAGCATGTGATAGTGATACAGGATATGTATGAAGAGTGGGGTTGGATTACATCTGGGATCGGCTCTAAGCCCTTTTTTTCTGCAGTGATAAAGGACAGATTAACTGATGAGGTGTGGTAGGAGTCTCTGTGAACTACACAGGTAACAGACATCATTATGAGGGTAGGGAGCAGGTGGAAAAGAGCCTGGAGGAGTGGTGGTATGCTCTGGGAGAGAGGACGGATGAAATTCAGTAGAAACAAGACAGAATATATGTATGTAAATGAGAGGACGACAGAAAGGTGAACATGTAAGGAGGAGAAATAGTGTGGGTAGCTGAATTTACATGCCTGGGTTCAGCCGTCCAAAACAACAGACAGTGAGCAAGAGAGGAAGCCAGGCAGGCTAGGGTGGGTCGAGTCAAGTGTCAGGGGTGATTGGTGACAGGAGGATGGTTTTGAGATCTGCCGTGATGTACGGTTCGGAGATGGAAGCACTAACAAAAAGAGAGGAGACAAAGCTGGAGGTGGCAGAGTTGAAGATGTTAGGGTTTTAAATGGTTGTGATCTGGATGGAAAAGATTAGAAAAGAGTATATTGGGGGACAGCTGAGTTGCCAGGCACAGGGAAAAAAGAGGAAACTCACAAAGAAGATTCATGGATGTAGTGAAGGAGGACATGCAGAGAGTTGGTGTGACAGAGGAGGATCCTAGGCATTCACATTCTTTACTGCATAATAATTGTAGTGCTTAATTGCTTATGTTGTCAGTATATTTATTTAAAATATCAAGGCATGCACATCCACAATACAAAGTGTTCACCTCATCATGCATACAGAGTGGAGACAGCGCTGTTTCCCAGCAACTTAGCATAACACAACAAGAGCGATGGAGAGTAAGGAAAGAGCCATGGACATAAAGTTGTAGTCAGTCAGAACTCCTCCCTTTTACTTCAAAAAGTGTCAGTCTTCTCCATTCTGCCTATTTGCCAGTTTCAAAATTTGTAATTTGTTTCAGTTTTTGTGATTACAGGTGGAGCTAGCTTCCAACAGGAGGACTTTGGCTTCAGGACAACCTTGAAGGCAGCATATTCTTTTCATTTGAATTGCACAAAAAGTAATCATTTATTGAAAAATTATGTTCTAAGTAGTACTTAAAAATAATTATACATTTAAGTTTTACAAATTATATGTTTGTATGTATATATACATGTTTAGACACATGTATATATAAATATTGTATTATATATGTAATATTATATGTTTAATTAAAGTGTCCCAATTACTCCCTTGTTCAAGTTATAGCTAATGAGAATTGAGAAGCCTAAATTCAGAAAAATATACGTGGTAATGTAGAAGTCATGGGTTGTATTATAAAGTGGAGGTTGAATGATCAATAAACAGTATTCCTAATTGTATTAGTATAATAATACATGTAACTCCTGAATGATCCATCATTGTTCAGCATACATTTGATTGAAATTTGTATGAATATATCACCTTAAACAATCCATCCAGTTTCAAATATGACTATATATTGCTCGTCTTTTTCTTGAGATGGACTTTTGTCACACAACTACATATTCATTGTTGTGTTTTGTTTTCTCTCTTAAAGGCTGCCATTATGGGGGAGTGGTCCTTTCTGTCTGATTTGTTAGACAAGGTGCAGTTTCACTCCACCTTCTTGGGAAAGGTCTGGATGAGTGTTCTTTTTCTCTTCAGGATCTTCATTCTGGCAGCTGGTGTCGATAAAATATGGGGAGACGAACAATCAAACATGAAGTGTAATATCCTAACGCCTGGATGCAAGAATTCTTGCTATGATCACACCTTTCCTTTGTCTCATACACGCTTCTGGGTGCTCCAGATTCTCACTGTTTCCACGCCAACGCTCATCTATCTGGGCCACGTCTTACTAGTGATTCGTAAAGAGAACAAACGGAGAAGACGCCTGGAGGAAAAAAGGAAAAAGCAGGAGATGATTAAAGCCCCCAGGTATTCAAATGAACATGGCAAAGTGCACCTCAAAGGCGCCTTGCTGGTCAGCTACACGTTTCAATTGCTGTTCAAGATTTTGCTTGAAGTAGCATTCATTGTAGGACAGTACTACCTCTATGGCTTCATACTTATGCCAAATAAGGTTTCTTGTTTCAAGGACCCATGTAAGACAGAGGTACACTGCTTCATTAGTCGCTCCACAGAGAAAAGCGTCTTTATTATCTTCATGTTAGCAATGGCTGTGTTTTCTGTCATTTTAAACATTGTGGAGATATTTTACCTGATGATCTCAAAGATAAAGGAGAGGAAAAGAAGGACCAGCAGCTCCATTCCACCAGAGGGATTCAATCTCAACAACCCAAATCCCAATTCAACTGAGAGAATTACATGGTGTTGAAAGACAGTGAGCTGACGTAAACATTGACATAGTAGGTCACTATCGTTAGTTACAACATCACTCAACATCTTCATTTGAATTTTACATCTTATTTCAGGTTTAAAATAAATCACCCACATCGGTCAAATTGTACATAGACAGCCAACGAGGTTAAATGCAGAAACTACTGAAAATGAGATGTGCTCGTATTCAAAGTTATAAACTGCCAGTATTAAACGCTCACATACTGATCCATCTATCTTTAAAAGTACTAGTAGTTACTAGTAGTTAGGGGTTATCATGGCTAAGCAAGCACACACCTGACATGTACACTACATTCCCATGTTGCGCATCAATTTTCAACCGGAAAACCAGAAACGTAACCTTCTCTTGAACATGATCTACAAATGTCATTTGCAAAAATGTTGGGATTCTAATATCTGTTATTTGGTCATTTACTTCAACTTTCATCTAACAGCGAAAAACAAAATAAAGTGTCCAAGAGCACCTCAATCATGAACAAAGTTAAACAGGTTCTAGATTATAATTCTCTCTGGATTTTGTGTTGTTCTCTAATTCTCCCGTATTTAACTTGTTGTGTAGAGGTACCGGGAAATAATTATAAAAGATACACTAAAGTCGCTTTTCATATTACAAAAAAAGGACAATTGGTATTACACATAAAGTTCAATATCCTCTTCATACAAACTTCTTATTTTTACAGTCGAAATTATTAAAAGTTCATGACAGGGATGAGAGGGGTCATTAAATGACAAGAGGTGTTTTCAATGTGACATGTCATCACTGTTATATATTGTTGTTAATGTGTATTACATATACTCAGGAAGAAGCTACATAACTACATGACTGAGCTATAAATATGTGAAGGGAGTGGGAGTAAATGCTCCATTTTGTATATATGTATTCATGTGCTCTAAATAAACCATCAATCAATCAAACACTGAAATGCTATGTGTCAAGTTGGTCCTGGTATTGGAAATGGTGCACATTTTAAAAATACAAGTCAGCAAAGTTCAGGAGCAGCATACTGTTAGCCAGTTCTGAATCTTGGCTCCCGTGTATGAGCACTGACCCATGTAGTAAGCCTTAATTATACAGTGTTGATGGGATAGCTAAAGGGCGCAATGGCAGAGTAGTCATTCCTCTTATATTTCTTTGAAGTATGCTTGATGATCGGTGTCTGGGTCGCTTACACAGTTTGTCCTTTGTAATATAACGTCTCGGTGAACCAGTCTGCGTAGTCACATAAACTCCATGCTCATTGTGTGATGATACATTTTTTGCAGACGTGAACCCAAGTTGATCCTAGCTAACTTGCAGAAAGTATAATCAAGGCCTTATCTCTTGTTGCAGGTGCCTAGTTAAACATTACCAAATATTCTCTGAATAACATTTTTTTTTTAAATTGATTGCAGTTTACATTATATGTTTGAAAATATATGTTCCAGAACACATATTTTCACATAATAGGCTAAAACAATGCTAACAAAAAGCTGAAAAAATATATACATAATTTTTTAGGTTCACTTAAAACTGAATATAAATAAAGGCCTTTAAGAAAAATATTAACAAAACACATGGATGTGTCTCACATTATGTTTATTTTATTTGCTGTACATAAAGATCTCGGTGAGCAACTCACTTTTAACAGGTGTTAAACGTGTTACACGTAGGTGTAATACAGAACAAGCAACAAAAAAAAAAGTTGTATTGAGCACATGTAAGGAAGGATATCTTACTATTATGAACACAGTACTTTTTCATTGTACAGGAGTAGAAAAAAAAAAATCAAACTGCAGCTAGCTGGTGAAAACTGTGTGACTAGACACTATGCTAAAGAGCTAAACTCAAGTTTATATCCCAGGAAACTTTTCTGTCAAACTTATTCATTTCCTACAACCAGATTATGTTTTCTTCAGGAAAAAAGTTCTTTATCCACAAACGTTGTGATTTCAGACTTTGGCTTTTTTCAAAACCTCTTGGTCCCAGTCAGTGTCAAGAACATCATTATTTAACTCGGCAGACTCAAACAGAGACAATCCTGAGAATAGGCCTTTGGAACCACTACTATTACTATCCTGAGGACTCGTAAAACACTTTCTCTTTAGACTGGCAGTCCTTTGACAGTTAACTGAATCCCTAGTTACCATTTTCACAGTGTTGTTTTCAGTATGACTGAATTCGGTCTGTTTTATTTTGCACTCGGACATTGTTGTACTCGTTGACTTCATCCCTAGTTCACATTTGTTTGCTGGTGTGTAATCTGTTGCTGGGGGTATGGTTTGGCACTTCTTGCCTATGTGGTTGGCGATGTTTAGAATTTTGTGGACTTTTGAATTAGCTCTCAAACAATCAGCATCACCTTTTTTAAGCGTACTCTTTTCCATTTTTGTTTGAGCTGTTGTGGGTTCACTTGTCCAGATAGATGAGAATCCTGAGAGTTTAATTTCTGAGCTTGAGGAAGTTATACTGGTCTTCATCTGTTCTGATTGTAATGTAGTTTGATTAGTGATGCAAGCACTTGATTTTGAAAGTGGGGTGGAAGTAAATACATCTCTGTCATCACCAGTGCTGACTCTGGTTCTCTGACACAGGTGTGCGTCATTATGACTAATTGGTTTCTTTGTGTTAACGCTCACTGTCATTTGCTTTTCTGGACTGGCATTATTGTTATGGTTGTCAACTGAAGTTCTCATCTTACTTGGTTTGAACATGAATCTTGACAACTTTCCACGCAAGTCTATGTGTGTTTCCGCTTCGACTGCCATTTTCTCCCTTGGAACAGCGCTGCTCTTCCTACTTTCAGTCAGGTGCAATTTGTCCTCCTTTACATAGCTGTCTTTGTCAGTGGACAGGTTTGTCTCTAGTACATTTTCACTTTCATCCCCAAACACCAGCCTTTCTCTGTGTCCTTTTCCAACCTCTTTGTGAAATCGCTGATGTTTCAGGTCCAGTTGCCCAAAGCCTTTATCTCCCATATTCTTAGAGTCCATTGTGCTTCTAGAAACCTTTTGAAAATGATATCCCAATGGCTCTGGATGTGCTTCATGCTTCTTTTTCTCATATTTCAGTATCTCCTCTTGGCTTTTAGAGATTTCTTCTGTAACGCTTTCATTTTTCTTACCTTGTATGTTTTGTTCTGAAACAGAGGTAATATTTCCAAAAACAACTGGAGCAACGGTCCTTCTCGAAGTCAACTTTTCAGATCGACAACTTGATTGTCTGGTTACTTTAGACACGTCTGTTCCACTTGAAATAGTTTTTGTATTTTCTTGAGGTGTAGTTATGGGTGAGGTCCTATCATTTGGGGACAGTGACAGAGAGGTGTGGAACCAGTTCGAGTCACTCCTCACTGTATTACCACTTTCCAAATTGCTAGTGTGTGTTTTGGAGTTTGCGTCACTGAGTAGATGCTTCAGTTTAGTAGTTGATGAATCACATTCAGGAGACTCTGATGTCTGGCTTTTTGACCTTAAGAGAAAAACAACCTGCAGTTAAAATGATGATAGTTCCAAACACTCATGTGCACAAAGTTGAATCCATAAATAAACATTTCAAATCTGCTCCCAATTTGAACTCCACTGGCTACATTCATCACAAAGAATCATGTCATTAAGTGTCAAAGAATAATTATCTTATGTGTTTTTGTATACGTTTTATACAAGTAAAGACAGAAAATGGGGCCTAAAAGACTACAGATTATCAGTGGACGTCAAATCATTAGGTCATGATTTTGATGTCATGGGGGATTTCTTTGCAGAAAAGAGACAGTTACTAGCAGCACTGCTTATGCATTCAAATGTTGTGTAGCAGGAGGTAATAATCTAACATTGGGATTATCTTTGAAAGTTAACAAATAAAAAAAAACAACAACAACAAAAAACAAAACAAAACACCAATTTACTCACCTGGATAGTCTGTCTCGCTCCTTCTTAAGGAACAGTGGGAGGTTCAGTCCTTCGAGCAGTATCTGACACTGAGTTTGATACTGCTCAACAGGGTCAGCAGGAAATGAGGTGAATAAAGTATTCACATTTCCCTGCAGAACGCCACCCTAAAAGAAGAACGTAATATGCAGTTACAGACTGACACAGCAGCATGATGACAACACACCACAAAGTGAATGATATTTGGTGAGTTCAAGTGACGAGTGCAATCAACCAGCTGGAAAACTAAGGAGACTAGAAGTGAGATTGTCATCTGTAAACTCATTTTACATTCTAGCCCACTTTACTTTTAAGTGGGCCAGAATGCTGAAAATTAGTATATCAAAAAGAAGTGTGACTTCATCACTCATTTACAACAAGTGAATGCTGCTGTAACTTATGAAAGCTCTGTCAGCACTCACTCTTAGATAGTGATAACTTTTGACTCGTTTAATTGTTTATCCATTTCTTGATTACTTTGGTGTAGTATGAATAGCTGTGAGAGTCTTTATAAGCACTTCACCAAAATTTATGGAAATACAATTCAAAGTTTATGTCCTCCTCTACATTTTCAGAGATGTCCAGTGGGCCAGATTGGAGTCTTGCCAGACCAATGCTGCAATTAAAGTGGGAGCTTCAACACAATATACAACGAACAGATTGCTTGCAGTATTGTATACAACTTTAGGCTAAAGCATCAAGTCTAAGCTTCAATGTGAGTAGATTTTCAGCAAGTAAAACTGTTTTAGACACGGTTATGTTAGGATTCTGTTTCAGTAAAGGCAATGAAAACCAAAAAATTAGGCAAGAAATAATGAGATGTGGAATTTATTTTTTCAAACTTAACAGCTGGTTTCATTCAAAAAAATTGCACAGACTTTAGTATCCTACCTTTAGTAAACACCGCTGCTAATTATTTTAGTATAATGATCATAGTACATACAAGTGGTGTGAAAACGTGTTTGCCCTGACTGAGCATAAATGCCAGGATCAGTACTACAGTCAACCGATAACAACTATTTTTTCTGGCAAAACTTCTCCTGTTTCTCCTAAGAAGTATAAAAGAGGGCTATGGTATCCGACCCTAGAAAACCACCAAGTCATTGGTCCAGGTATGTGGATGACACCTGGGTGAAAATCAAATTTCAGGATGTGCAACAATTCACGGATCACATTAACTCGCTGGAAAACCACATCAAATTCACCAGGGAGGATATGAAAAGTTGCTGGTTAGCCTTCTTAGACTGTGAGATCGCCATCAGTAATGGGGGACATTTAAAAGTTGATGTGTACTGTAAACATACGCATACGGATAGGGCTGTCTGATATGACCAAAATCTCATATCCCAATATAAGACATCTACCGTCCGATAACGATATAAATCACAAAAATTTTACATTTTCTGTAAATTATGTGAATCTCGGGCAGCTCGACTTGCGTGAAGTGTTTCCAGCTGGGCGTCGTGTACCTGGACTCGAGTGTTTAACCGATGCATGAAACGATACATTTTTAGACATAAGTTGTAATGGCCGCCGTTTTCCTTGTGAGTATTTATTACACGACGTGCTGCCGGGAAAAGCCTGTTCTAACGTTTGAGTCTAAGGTTTATTTTTTAGCACCTGACGGCTCTTTTTTGCTTCTCATCCGTAAATAATCTGCTCTTTCGCGTGATTCAGTTTATTTTGAAAAGTCTCAATAGGATCTTGAGCTTTATTGTGAAAGGTTTATGTGGAAAATAAACAAGTGGACACGCGATGGTGTTACCGTCGTTGTTGCTAACGACAACGCATAAAAACAGGCGCTGTAGTGTGGTTATATTAAATATAAGAGAAAGAGAGAACTTTAAGAAATTAATATAACCACTACAGTGACCATCAAAACGATGAAAAAATATTGCCATAAACGGTTTATTTTGCGACACCACAAAACAAATGATTGCGTAAAATGAAACGATAGACATTTTTATATCATCATCCGATATATATCGTTATATCGAACAGCCCTACATACAGATTAGTATTTAAGGTTTGACTCTCATCTTCCACTGGAGCATAAACTTGGAGTCATCAGGACACTACAACACAGAGCGAACGCCAACCCCACTGACACAACGGCCAGGGAAGCAGAAGAACATCACATCAAAAAGGCCCTGAGTAAATGTGGTTATCCTACACAGCAAATTCAAAAGTGTTAAATGTTTGGTGTTAATAGTCTTCTTGCAAAAGTAGAGTTAATTTTACTCTAAGTAGAGTCACATTCTTTTAATGTAACTCTGAGGTGTAAAATGATAGTAGTTAAAATCGAGTGTTAAAAATGAGTGTTTCTCTGTCAAATCTGGAGGTGTTACAATGGAAACATTAACTCTTGACCTCTTAACTCTGAACTCCTAGAGGGGCTATGACACTAATAGAGTAAATTCACAGACTCCGCCCCCAGCACGGCTCCAATCGAAGCTGAAGTGAAGCCGTTTCAGAACATTTTGCTCTACATATTTGAGTTGTTTGCCATACTTGGTAAGTCATTTTTTCAAAGATTGTTTCAATTATTATTATTATTATGAGCTTTTACTTCTGTAGCTCTTTGGAGTTGAGACAAAGCTGTGTGAAAGGCATTAGCCATGTTGCTCGGTGATAGCATAATATTCTGTTTTAGCTAGCTGAAAGGTATTGTTTGCGGGCAAATACCACAGCCTTGAAAAAAAGCTTGGATGTGAATTTTCAGTCAAACTTTTGGTCAAATACACCTAAAACAATGTCTAGAATGTGAAATGTTGGTATAATGGTACTACTTGAAGCCTGAAAACGATCGCCCATAAAACAAAACGAGCAAACAGCAGTAGCAGACGTCCTGACTGGATTCTACGTTAGCATTTAGATCCCTCCAGAGTTTTGTGCACACGGTTTAGGTAAAAATGAAAAAGGTTGAGGTTTTACATTTAGTTCAGTATTACCTGTTGTCTGTGTCCTTGTCTTTTGGGAAAATACTTTACACAAGTAATGGCTCAAAGAGGATTCCTTTTTTTTTTGTGCTGTGCTGCAATTGTTTACTGGATTATTTGTGCCATTAACTAGTGTCAACTAATTTTTATTCAATCTCCACATAGGATATGCTTGTGAAGATGTCCCTCTCCCCTTCTGTTTTTCTTTTCCTTCCTCTTTCTTTCTCTCTTTCCTATCCCTCACTCATGTCTGTCCCATCTGTAACAACTGAAAATAAAATAAAATAAATAATAAAAACAAAGGTCGATCAAATGGACCAATACAGCAATGCCACGATGATCCATTTGGCAAAATAAATCCATTGGGTATCCTTGTTGGTCTTCAGACAACAATTCTGACGGCTAAAGAACCAAATGGGACAGGCAAAAAAAAAAAAACCTTTTGGGATTTCCTGCTAAAATAAATACAATGAATACAAAACCCTTTAAATTGAAAGAGCCTCATAGACAGGTTGTAATTTTCAAAGTAACAAATAAAAGCCTTACCTGCATAGAGCACTCCATAACAGAAACAGCAATGACAGCGTCTTCTATGGTAACTGTCTCTCTGTACATGAGCTTGGCATGGGCTGTAAAATTAACAAAAAAAGTTTTCTGCCACTGCTGCCGTTCCACTTTTTTCAGATTTGTATATGCAACAAGCTTTATTGTTATTACATATCATCAGCAACTTCATAGTTAACAAAACTTTAGTTTAAAATCATTTTGCTTTTAAATCATCATATGATGAATGTTTAGTAACTAATTACAATATTTGATTAAACAAAAAAAAAAAAAAATCTCCACTTGCTCCTGTGAATGGTCTTTAACCTTCAAGATCTAGTCCTCTAACTGAATCGAATTGATTTTAGAAATCAGTGACAATACCCAGCCCTAAGGCAAAGCATGCTGTGCAAAGACACCCCTGAGACAATCAAGCACATAACAGCAGGGTGCAAGATTCTAGCAAACAGGGCATACGTGGAACGCCATAACAAAGAACATGAACACCTGAGCAGAGTTTGAGAAGTCAGAAGGCCAAAATGGGATGCAGTTCCTAGGGTGGTTGAGAAAGGCTAAGCTAACTCATGTGGACTTCCACATACAAATGGACGGCTACAAACCAAACATACTAGTGATGGACAAGCAGAGGAAGGAGGCTACAGGGATAGATATAGTTATACTAAAGTGGCAGCAACAACAGGAAGAAAGAACACAAAAACAAAAAACATCTTGTATGCCTTTCGGTGCTGCAAGAGCAGCGTGTAAAATATTATCAGAAGACTCGTTTTAGACCTGACCACAATCAATGACTTGACTTATGAATAAATATGACCAAACTAGTCTGAAGTCAAACTTCTCATCTTACCTTCAGCCAGCCTGCTCAGACTCTCCAATGTGCGTATAGTTGTGCGGGCAGCACTGCTGCTATCACTCCGTCTTTGTAGCTGGTAGTAGCGTGTCAGTATACAGTTGGCTTCTTCTGACATCACTGGTTTTAAATGCTTAATCAGGCTGAAATAAGCTTTCATTTTCTCCATAGACCACAGACTCGAACACTGATCAGGTAGTCCTTAAGAAAAAAAGAGAAGGGGCATTTTTACCACGTTCTCCCCATTGAAGGGTATGTGAGAGAACAATAATAATCAATTATTTATAACAACAGACTTTATTGTTTTAGTCATATTTCACTTCCAAACTCAAAAACATGTCTTCTACCTCTGTCCTCCATAATGAAAGAGGAGATGATGTGGTCCCACTCTGCATTTCTGGTATCCAGCAGAACTAAAACCAGGTCAAAACGACTTAGCAAAGGACTGGCCAGAGCTACGTTCACAGACAGTGGCTCGTTGGGATCATACTGGCCTTTAGGGTTGGTAGCTGCCAGAATGGTAGTTCTGGTATTCAGTTTACACACCATGCTGCAGAAAGAGAGAGCAGTGGATCACACAGAAAAAAAAAACGAGAAAAAAAAACAGATGAGTAAACACTTTTTTTTTTAAATTAAAATGATCCATTTAAATAATCCAGTATGTGGATTAGGAGGTTTATTAGTTTATCAAGGTTCATTTTGTATTAGATTCCCCTTGTGTTTTCTACCCCTGTGTTAAGTTTCCCTCGTCCTTTATGCGTTTCATGTCTGCATGTCTTTTGTTGTGAAATTCATGTTGTCATGTCTGCGTTTCATTATGTTTCCTGTTTTATTTTGAAGAGGTCCTATGTTCTACGTTCAATGGGTTTAGTTTTACTCCTCCCCTGTGACGTCATTATGTTCATGTGTGTCAGCTGTTTCCCCATGTGTTCCCACTTCCCTCATAGCTGTGTGTTATTCTCCCTGTCTTCCATGAGTTTGTTGTTGTTAGTTTCCCAGTTTAGTTTTGTTCTTTGTTTCACCTCCACGCTTGCAATAAAGCTGTGTTTTTGAGTTCACGTTTGCCTCGGTAAGGTTTGCGTTTGGGTCATTTTCCTGCCTGCACACAGCCGTTTTGTGACAATGTATAAAAAAAAAAAAGCTGTATAATATTACTGTCAGAGTTTGAGTACAGTATTGTCGTGTGAAATAAGTGTAAATAAAAAAGGAGGGGAAAGGAAAGAGTTGTTAAGATCTCAGTGCTACTTAGGAGATGTTTACAAACTTACAAGGTGAGTAAATGTTTAAACAATAGGAAGGAGAGGAATGTAGAAGACTGTAAATGAGACCCATGAGCTGAGCTGTTGTTTGGGAAAGTGGAGTGAGTTGGTCCTGAGGCCCCGTTGATGAGAACCAGAAAAAACAAACCAAACAAAAAAACTGTCGGCTGGATTAAATGATGTTCTATCCAAACTGGCAGCTCACATGTAGCTCTTCAGCAAAATGAGCCAATAGGATAAAGAAAAGAGAAGATTCTGCTGAATACCAATGAGCATGCCTTTAGTAGACTAGGTCATAAACAAGGTCTTAACAAAATGAGCCACTTGGCACAAGTAGAACAAGAAAAAAAGGAAACCCTGCTAAACACCCATGAGTGGACGAGGTCATAAACACAAAACGAGCCACTGATAACCGTGACTAGATGCCAGAACCTTATGAACATACTTAAAAGTGGACATTGTTAAAGGAGAGTTTGCATAGATATTATAATGACTAAAATTACTTCAGTAGGAGAATTAATTAATGCCCAATGCAGATTATATTTGGTAGTAGTGTAGAATATTTGAGAACAGAAAAATGAGGTCATTTTTTATAAATCGTTAAAATAAACAATACTAAACAAAAAAAAGTTTTAACAATAGCAAAATCAAGACAATAAGACTCCAATGATAATAAACGACAGTATCAAAAGTAAGTAAATATTAATAAGGCAAAGGTCTACAACTGAAACGTCATATTTGGTCAGTCTTAACCTGCTGGTCAGCAATTTTGAGTTTAGAGTGTATTCCCCCAAAACCTGCATCTCCTTAGAGACTGTGTCTGCCCCAAAACCAACAAAAAACACTTTGAGAGTCTTTTGCTGATATACGGCATTGAAAGAAAAAAGAAAACGTCATTTTAAGAGTATTCCCTGAAACCCCTCTCAGCTGACACTTTGAGTAATCTTTGAGTTGTTTTTGACCAGGACATAGCCTTCAATGTGCATATTAAATGATTTCATCTACTTTCACAATATCTCTAAATGAGAAACATCCTATCTCAAAGTGATGCTGAAAAACTAGTTCATGCATTTATTATTTTTAGGTAGGACTAATGCATTTTGTTATTAAGAAGATGTCCTAAAACTCTACAACTAAAAACCATCAGTTGATCCAAAATTCAATTTATTTTAATTCAATTCAATGTTATTTATATAGCCCCAAATCACAACTCAAGGCATTTTAAATTGTAAGGTATATCCTATAATAAGAATGCTGCAGCAAGAGTCCTGACAGGGACTAGAAAGAGAGAGAAGATTTCTCCTATATTGGCTTCCCTTCGTTGGCTCCCTGTTAAATCCAGAATTGAATTTGAAATCCTGCTCCTCACATACAAGGACTTAAATAATCAGGCCTCATCTTATCTCAATGACCTGATAGTACCATATCACCCCATTAGAGCACTTTGCTCTCACACTGCAGGCTTACTTGTTGTTCCTAGAGTATTTAAAATTAGAATGGGAGGCAGAGCCTTCAGTTTTCAGGCCCCTCTTCTATGAAACCAGCTCCCAGTTTGGATTCAGCTAGGGTTAGGGAGAACCTAAACAGGTTCTCTTCCTCCACACACTCCTCATTCATAAAGTGCTTTACAAAACCAAACATTACAGCTAACAGGTGCACTGTTTGAGTGCAGCTAGCCAAACAGCGTAGAGCCACTTGCTGCTAAAGAGACAAAGAATGAAAGTGGACACTCTATCCTTGGTTTCTTAGAATAAAACTCATTGTTGCTGTCAAGGGCAGTACTGGAGTGAGCCCTTTAATCTGATTTTTAGTTTTAGTGTCCTTATTTTCCTCTGACTTGTAATTTCTGTCAGTAGTTAACTAACATAAACTAATGTGTGTCAATTAGCCTCAACCAACCAACCACATGTTCGGTACTGACAGAAGCTGGCGCTAAAACATGTTTTTAAAACCTTAAGCACTTATTTCCTAAATCAAGCTTAACAGACAGTGCTATATTTCCATTATGTAAATTAGTTTTTCATGTTCTCTTTAATTCATGATTTGACAGTTATTTTTCCCCACAGGGCCAGGCAGGTTTCCTGTGATAAATGAAATCATTATTTAAGTTATGTTTGTCTAGTATTAAAATTTGTTTGCTGTTTGGAAACATTCAAGTGTGACAAAGATGAAAAAACAAAAACAAAGAAAGAAAACCAGGAGGGGGACAAAGAGTTTCCCACAGCACTGTATACGATCGTGGTCATTCTGTGTTTGAAATTCCTAACTTCTGGTGATGTGAATTTATATGTAAATGCATGAGAGTCCTACCCAGCTTTAGCAACACTAATAGATTGTTGCTCCATAGCTTCATGGATGCTGATGCGATCCTGCTCCTTGATGCTGTTGAATTCATCAATGCAGCACAAACCACCATCTGCCAAGACCAGGGCTCCTGCTTCCAGGTGCCAGTCACCTCCATCCTTCACAGCTGCTACTGTCAGTCCTTTGGAAACACATTCACTTTATGAAGTAATACATTGGTATTATATGTAAAAATATATAGTTAATCACATGTCCGAGTCACCCTTCATTTCTTGACATTGCTTCCAACAAGGCAGATTTTAATTGTATTATTATTATTTTTTTAAATCATCATGAGCGATACTTCTTGGGCCTTTCAAAGTTTTGAAGTAAATTGGATGTGTTTTAGCTCATTTTCAGTCCAGTCCATGTATCAGAGGAATATTTTATTGTTTGTTAAGCCACTTAACAGATTTATTTCACGGTATGAGTTTCATTGGAGGGGAGGGCAAATCAACCACCTGAGACACTGAGGCAGTTTTTGGTACAGAAGCACATGATCAGCAACCTTCATAGCCTCCTGAGCGATTATGGGGAAATTCTCTCTGGAGATAAAAAAAAAAAGTGGTTTATGCCAAACATGTGGATGATATATGTAGGGGAGACTGGGGCCCGTTTGAGAGTGCGTTTTTCAACAACACCTATATCCGTTCGGCGGAGTCGTGTACTTTAGTGGTACAGTGGTACACCCACTTTAAGGAGCATTGATCATCATGGGTTTGCAGGTTAATCCGGGGTGGTCGGTCGGTCAGCGGAGAAGGAGGGAGAGGGGGTGGATAGAGCGACTAAACACTTGTGTTCTGTTAGGCCTGAATGTACCCATATGAGATGTGGATTGTACTTTTTTTTCTTCTTGAATTAGAGGACCACATATACAGTATGGGTGAAAGGGGTTGCTTTTTAGTTGTCTCTTGTATTGGTTGCCTGAGGTATTGTGATTATGATATATAATGAATATGTGACACTAATGAATCCATCAGGACCCAGAGGGGGAGGGATGGGAGATTGAGTGGATGACCTGCTGTGATACTCCAGGAGCCAAGATTGGAGGACCTGCCCGTATATTGGTGGTTTGTCTGTTCTTAATCTTTGTTCTGACCTAAATAAAGGCATAGGTTACATCCATATGACGTATGGTTAATAGACTAAGAGTGTGAAATAAACAAAGGAAGCTTCAAAAAAAGAAAACTGACTGAAGGCCTACTGTTTCGGTGCCACAGGAGCAGAGATGAGGAGATGTGAAAAACCACCACAAGTGCTTCATGTGAGAAAGTGAAATAAACACCAAGAGAGCCCTGAACAGACTTATTTCATGTGTATGAATCTACCAAAAAAAACAAACAAATTAATTAAAAGGTTAAGGATGTGAGAGCTGTTGTGAGAAATCCTAGTAAACACAGGCTCCCTCCACAGAAACTGCATGGCATTTGGCTGACAAATAGAGTTTAAATACTAACAGTATGTTGTTATATTCTGTGATTTACTAATCACATGAGTTTGGAAATTGCAATTTTTAATGAAAAAAAATAAAAAAATAAAATCAAGAAGTTCAAGAAATCTGTGGCTGAATCGCCTCCAGAGAGTGTTGGGAGACCTGTGCTACAAAGAGAAACGAGTAAAATTAGGAATATGGGTGAGATTTGATTGTGTACTCTGCCATACTTTGATTCGAGATCACAGCAGGTCTTTGAGGGTGAACAATATCAGTAATACACAAGAATGGTATGCACAAAAGATGACGAAGAAGAGGAGGAGAATGGTGGTAGAAGGAAGAAGAGGAACCAAGGGGTAACAGGATGCTACAGCCAAACCCTTAGACCGTGCACCGAAGTTTTAAAGAAATACAAACTGAGCCACAATTTCTAAACACCTAATCATAACCTAACTGTAACCCTGACACTAAAACCACATTTTGAGTCTCAAAATTCTCTTCAAACTTGTGGGGACCAGGATTTTGGTCCCCACAACGACTGGTGGTCCCCACAAGTATGTCTAAACAGGTACAAACACACACACGCACACAAAAGAATTATTATTTTTTTCACCTGTTTACTGAAACATTCCAATTATAGTTATAATGGACATGGACAGTGTAGACTCTCAGCTTTCATTTGAGGGTATCCACATTCGAATTGGATTGATCATTTAGGAGCTTCTGCTCCTTAACATGTGCCACCTTCTTTTTATAAGGGATCACAAGTAATTGGACACTGGACTGAAAAAAAATTCCCTTCTTTCATGAGAAAGAAAGAAAGCACTGGTGAACTTCAGTAACGCAAAAAGACCTGGATGAAGACCCGTGACTGTGTGAAAAATTGATGACACCCTAAACCTAATACCTGGTTGGGCCACCCTCAGCAACAACACCTTTTTAAAAAAATAAAATAAAATAAAAACAGCCCTGTGGAGGAATTTTGGCCAACTCGTCTTTGCAGAATTCAGCCACATTGGAAGGTTTTCGCACATGAACCACCTTTTTAAGATCATGCCACAGGATCTCAGTCGGATTCGGGTCAGGACTTTGACTAGGCCACTCCAAAGTCTGCATTTTGTTGTTCTTAAACCATTCAGAGGTGAACTTGCTGGTGTGTTTTGGATCATTCCATTTGTGGATAATGGCTCTCACTGTGGTTCGCTGGAGTCCCTAGGCTTTAGACATGGCTTTATAACTTACTTCATTTCTCACTTATTCCTGAGTTTCCGTGGATCGCAACATGATGTCTGGCTTTTGAGGATATTTTGACCTACTCCACTTTGTCAGGCAGGCTCTATTTAAGTGATTTCTTGATTGAGAACAGCTGTGGCAATAATCAGGCCTGGGTGTGGCTAGAGAAACTGAACTCAGTTTTCCGAGATGTGATACAATATTTTTTTCCCCTTAATAATAAGAAGCGGCATTTTGTGTCTCCTTTGTGTGTGTATATATAGTTTCTTTTGTTTGTTTGGGTTTTTTTGTTTTTGTTTTTTTTTTAAAGGGAAAAGCAGGACCTACCTGCACTTGTTGAGCCAATTCCAGCTGTGAGTACAGAACGACACATAATCTTGGCAGCATATTTCAGGAACTGAGACTTCCCTGTACCTGGGTCACCAACCAGCAACATATGACACTCGCCTAGAAGGAGCAAATCATGAATACACACATTTCACAGAGGGCCATTTGTAAAACACAAAAAACAACATAGAGGCACTGATTTGTCAGAGTTTACATTCTGTCACAAGACAGTCACAATTTAAATTTTCATGAAGCTATTTAAAGGGCCCGAAAAAGCAACATGGGTCTGTCCTCCTGTGGGCTGACCATCTCTGTGGCCCCTCCTGTGGGTGGTGAGCCCACAGGTGGCCTCAAAATCTCATCATTGCTTTTTGAGGATGATGTGATTCTCTTGACTTCATCAGGTGAGGAACTTCAAGCTCACACTGGAGCAGTATGCAGCCAAGTGTGAAGCGGCGAGAATGCGAGTTAGCAACTCCAAGTCTAAGTTCTCAGTCGGCAAAGGGTGGAGTGCTGATTCCAGGACACGGATGAGTTATTGCCCCAAGTGGAGGAGTTCAAGTATCTGTTGTTCACGAGTGAGAGGACAGGGGAGTGCGAGAGTGACAGACTGATTGGAGAGGTGTCTGCAGTGATACGGATGCTATGCCAATCGGTTGTAGACAAGAGAGACCTGAGCATAAAACGAAAGTGGTCCATTTACCAGTCAACCTATGTTCCTACACTCTTGTTGCAAGCTCTGGGGAGTGACCAAAAGAATGAGGTTCCAGGCACAAGCAGTAGAAATGAGTTTACTGCAAAGCGTAGCGGGGCTCTCCCCTGGAGGTAGGGTGAGGGACTCAAAAGGAGGTGGTTCTTCTGACATCTGACTAGGATACCTCATGGACTTCTCCTAGATGAAGTATTCCGGTTGTCTTACCAGGAGAAGGCCCAGGGTTTGGAATGTCTCAGTCTCCCCTCAGATGAGCTAGAGGAGGTGGCTGGGGTAAGGGAAGTTTCAGTTTTTCTGCTCCAGCCACAACCAGAACCCAGATGAGCAGCAGAAATTTGATTGATGGTTGGTTCAAAAGAAAATGAACTGCAAAGGGCCAGATTCCACTTCAAAGGCACAGCTTAGAAATGTTTTGGGGCTTTTTTTAAGTTTATTTACTGGTTTGTAGGAGTCATTCTTTGCAGATACTTAAGAATATTAATATGTATTATTTAAAAATTAAAAAAAGAAAAATCGCATACCCCTAATTTTGGTCCCAGAAGAATCTATTCTCTGAACTCCCCCAGCCAAGACCATGGCCACTGCCAGTTTAATTACATACATGCCAAAAACCTGTGGACACAGGCTCAATAAGATATGGTTCCTACCTACAAATAAGAGAGAGGGAAACAAAATAAATGGATATAGAGCAAGATACACAAATATAATAGTCTTACACAGTAAATTATACATACCAGCTATAGGATTATGTTTGTAGCTATTCCAGAATTCTTCAAATTCTTCCTGAGCATCCTTTACAAGCTGTCCAGCAGCAGCCTGCTGGTTGTTTACCTCTATATTGTTAGCTTTGAGGACCAACTCCACATCACAAAGTGCACCATCATAAAAGGTTTTCCAGCGCAGACACATCACTCCATAAACAGTGACATCATCTCCTGGGAGCATACAGTCCAAAAGCCAATACATGAGATTAATTATTAAAATTTTATTTTCAGGTCTGATTTTGGCAAAGTAATCATAATACAACTACCTTTGTTGCATCGTTTTTCACTACAAACATCTATTAAGAGTTAGAAAACATACATTTCCAGCACTGATGTGGATTTCCAGTGACAAACTTATGTTTGCTTTGCTACTCATTTTAAACTCAACTTGCCTTGAGCCACAAACTGTAAGCTATCAGGAGAAGCGTATCTGGACAGTTCTTACACATTAATGTTTCTTACCAGATTTACAACTGTCGACAAGGTCATTCTCCAGAACTACCAGTAAAGAACGAGGAATACTGCCCACTGAAAGTTTCTGCACCTGTTGTAAGATGGGTACAATTCGATAAAAATGACATTTTACGCACTCAGCATGTGAAGTTTTAACAACATAACTTAACGCTTTAACTATGTTTAGAAATTTTTAAAATCAATACATAAATTAATTAAATAAAATCAAAAAGCTCATGTTTAAAAGCCTAACCTGCTCTTGAATTTTGATCTCCTGGTAATCCCTGCAAGCAGCAGGTTCAGATCCTTCAGACAGACAAGTGAATTTATACGAGTTACAGCTATCGGGGTTAGGGCAGGCTACGGGTGGGACAAACGTGTAGAATTGCTCAAATTCTGCCTGCACTGTGAAAACATGACGACACTTTGTGCACATGTAATCACGCTCATATTCCAGAACCTACGAGAGGAGGAAAAAGACACGGCTGTCAGTAAAACTCAAAGAAACCAAAGTGGATCTGCGTAAGGCTCTGCTCCTTGTCCAAACACCACCTCAAAGTTTACAAAGTGACTTTTTGTGTCTCGTTGAATTTTTAACTTGCATTCAATTTTTTAATCGAATAACTGTTTCAACAGTTAAGCTTAACTGTAGAAGGCTTGTTAGACATTAAGAAACATTTCTCGCTCTCTGGATGTTACACATAACTAATAATGGTCATGAATAAGAATAAAAACTGGAAGTTGTCTGTGGGGAGGTGTGGTTTTGGCTAAGCTGCAGAGGAGGCATGGAGCAGTGGGTTTAGGGTGGGACGTCAGGGGAGGCTAACCCACACAGCTGTTCTCAATCACCTTTTTTTTTTTTTTTTTTTTTTTTGCCTGTCCCGTTTGGCTCTTTTGCCATCAGAATTGTTGTCTAAAGGCAAAGAAAGATGCCCATTTACTTTACCAAATTGACCATCCCAGCCTTGCCATAATGGTCCATTTGATTCACCTTTTATTGTTTATTTTATTTTCACTTGCTGAATACGGGACAGACTTGACTGGGGGAAAGAAGGGGAGAAAGAAAGAGGGAAAGAGAAACAGCTGAGAAGAGGGACGACGGGGGAGAAGGGCAAAAGACAAAAACCAACAGAACGGGCAGAGAAAAAAAATGCATATATCGATCACCTGGATCACCTGCTGAGAAAGAAAAAAGAAAACAAGCAGAAGAGAACAAGAGTAATAGAATAAACAACATCACAATGATATATGGGAATATGACAGTAAATACTAAATATTAAACATTATTGTGCAGCACGTAAGATCAACAGAACACAGTGTGCTTTGAGGTAGGAGCCAAAAAGGGTGTAGTTTGTGGGTGTGATCACCCGTGTGTACACCTGTGAGCATGGACGCGCTTGTTTTTTTAAAAAGAAAAAGGTTCCTTCATGTAATGATCTGCTAGAGGGTGTGGGGGGGCCACTGCCCCGTCCTCCAGGGCATGAAGCAGGTATGGAGGAGATCAAAACTCCAGACATCCAGAGGCCCCCAGAACACAAGAGACCAAGAAGGACCAACAGAGGGGCAGCTGCGCCACTGTCCCAGATGAGGGGTCACTCAGCAGCCGCGGAGCAGAAGAGAGGGGGGGGTTGCAGTGACGCGCCCGTGAGCTCCGCCAGCAGCCAGCTGTGCCTGAGTGACCGAGCCCCAGGCCGAGAGGCCGGGGGCACCCCACCTCCGAAGTGGCCCGAGCGAGCCCCAGGCTCCAGGCCCAATAAGCGGCCGCCAAAGGGGTGAGCCGGTGTGTACCTGGACGCCCATCCCCAGACACAAAGAACCACCAACGCACCGATGTCTGAGAGAGTCCGCCACTGGCAGGGGAAGTGGTGGTGGGGGGAGATAGGCCTCCAAACCTTGGAGGGCCTGAGATGTCCCCAGAGAGGTGGCGCCTGACACCCAACCTGACATATAGACACAGACATACAGGCACACACATATACAAACATCCATTCCCACCCTCATGCTCTCATATGCACTTACTCCACACTCAACCAACGTGGAGACAGACATAAAGAGACGCTGTACACACGATCACACTCCCCAAGCGTACTCTACGAACCGGGTCTAGGTACCCTTGCCCCTGGAGGGGGGAACTGCACCCAGACCCAGGTGGTGTTACCCTTTTCCCTGCGGTGGGGAGAGGCAGACCGCCCCGACTCCGCAGCAGCAGGGAGGCCCCACACTCCAGACCGCAGTCGGACGGCCAACTCCTCCTCCTAGCCCCCCCGCTCCAGCAGGCCGCAGAGAACGGGGGTGTTCTCAATCACCTGATCATGCCTTCCCCATTTCAGTAGGATGCCGGGACCTGACGGGAGGACAGCTGGGAAGTTGTACAAACCAAAAAGTGTGCTGTATGTATAATATCAATCGACTTGCAATGCTGTGTGCTTCGGGTCTTTTTGTCACAATGATGCCGAAACCCAGTCATGGGATGATGGACCGCAACCTATTCGGCTGGTGGAAGTGCTGGCGAAGATGGTGGTGGAGCTAGCCGCTATGCATCAGTAGCAGGCTGCAGTGCATCATCTGCAGAGCAGCACCTGATGGTTCATCTAACCCTTTTCCCCTCTACAGACACCATCCTCCACTCACCGGGAGCCGCTGGGGCAGGAGTGTTGAGTGCGGGGGGGCCAGGACACGTCTGCTGGGAGCGCCCACAGACGTGTGAGATAGATGTTCCATTTTGCTGGCCCTCCAACACCCTCCTTCAGTCTAAGAGGTACGTACAGCATAACGGTAAGGTGCGAAGGGGGTACATGCCAGTCTATGGTGGATATGGGTTGCACGCACACCCTGGTCTACCAAATCCTTGGTGGACACTGACCCCCTGTTAGGGCAGTGTGTGGGGATGCAGTCACAACCAGTAATGATGTGTAGTGTCTGCATTGCACTAAGCGGTGACGTGGGGTCATCGAACGCTGGCTCTGGCCTGGAGGAGACGGCAGGGCCTTCTTGTGATGCCTCATCAGCTAAAGAAATTCCCTCCATGGAAGATTTCCCACTAAAGCAGTCTTATGATGACACTATATGCTAGGTCTTTGACCAAGTGATAAAAAAAATGATGGTCACATGTTGCACCCTGACCTACCCAAAAAAGACAGGTTGTATCAACTGGGTCCTTTCACAAATATTTAATTCAAATATTGACACGATGTGTGGGCGTCTAAATCTCTACTCCACTATTAACTGGTGGCTTATATGTATACTGCTCATGTTTTTTGCAGTGTTGGAAGCAGCATTCCATTTAATTGAATAGCACATGTACATATATGAAATGCTGTTACCTTGGCAATACTGGTACGTATTACAGTACCAGTTACAGACAAAAAGTGTCCTACATCTCTAGTCCTAGGAATTGTATCTCTTGTCAGCTCTGGGCACACTGGCAGACCTGGACACAGGAGAAAAAAAAGTTACGTGAAGTGACTCAAACAAGCAACAGTGACGAGCAGCAACGCTCGAAAACCCTCAAATGTGGCTGTATTACAACAATTCTGCAAAGATGAGTGGGCCAAAATTAATCTACAGTGGTGTAAAAGACTCATTACCAGTCGACACAAATGCCTGATTGTAGTTGTTGTTGCTAAGGGGGGTCCAACAAGTTATTAGGTTTAGGGAGCAATAACTTTCTCAAACAGGGCCCTTAATGATAAACACAGTCATTTAGAAACTTCACTTTTACATTTGTTTGATGATCTGAAACATTTAAGTGTGACAAACATACAAAAAATAGAGTATCAGTCAAGGCATGTAATACTCTCTACTTTTAAGATTAGGCTTTCCTTTTTTGACAGAGCTTAAAGTCAGGCCTTTATCGAGTGACCTTGGAGCTACTCTTAGTTATGCTGCAATAGGCTTAGGCTCCTGGGGCTTCCCATGATGCACTGAGCATTTCTCCTTCTCACACCCATTTTCACTACTGTGACCCCGAAACGGTCACAGTAGATGGCTGTGTCTCCCTGAGCCTGGTTCCACAGACAAGGGGCCTGAAAGCTGAAGGCTCTAACTCCCATACTGCTTTTAAACTGGACATGAAACGCTACAAGTATAAATGGTAATTTACACCCTGGAGCCCTGCACTGAAAAACTGATACTGATGTAACACTGTCTGTGAAGCTGGATTTAAGAGAGAAATGCTGATAGAACATGTTTAGTGCCATCTTGTGTCAGTACAAAACATGACGTGACCAGCTTGGTTGGTTGTGGTCAATAGACTTTAGTCTAACATTACTTTATGTTAGCTAACTAGTGACAGAGCCGATAACTCAGGTGGCTCCTTATTTTTAGTCTTATTTTCTACTAAGAGGGGGTCAATTTTGTACTACCATTGGCTGTAGCAATGAGTTTTATCTTAGGAAACCAAGGATCTACTGTCCACTTTCACTGCTTGTCTCTTAAGCAGTCAATAGTTCTTTGTTGTTTGGCTAGCTGCACTAAAATGGGAGAATATAGCTGTTAGCCGTAATGTTCAGATTTATAAAACTAGGTACACCATATAGGAGATGCAAAAACTAAGTGCAAGCACATAAACACTAGATCAGGCGTCTCCAACTCCAGTCCTCGAGAGATACTGGCCGGCAGCTTTTATATGCATCCTTGTTCCGACACACCTGAATCAAATGAATGGCTCGTTACCAGGCCTTTACCAAACTTGATGGCATGCTGAAGAGGTAATTCAGCCATTTGATTGATTCAGCTGTGTTGGAGTAGGGATGCATCTAAAAGCTGCAGACAGTAGCTCTCAAGGACTGGAGTTGGACACCCCTGCATTAGATATATACATAATTCCAGTTTTGGTTATTTGGACAGCTTTACTGATATAACTGTGGGGACTTGGACTTAGAGCTTAAGGCAACAACTAACGTACAGCTGTACGCTGAAATCTGGGAACTAAGGTTAAAAACATTTTGAGTGTCATTCTCTAATATATTTTTCTTTGTGACGGCATAACCATGTTTCCAATAGTTGGAATTCTGTTTCCAAGTTGGGATTCTGTGTAAAATTTTGATCTCTGCCAAGAAGGTTATATTTTCAGTACCATTTGCTCCATGTGTGCCTCTGTGAATACAACAGCTCAAAAGGTTTTGAATGAATTCGAATAAAAGTTTGCAGGAGTACAGAGTGGGGTCATTGCGTTAAAATGTAGCTTGCATTTACCAGCGCCTTCAAGGTCAATTATTAGTCGAAAAAGTAATGTGCCGAATAAAGATTTGAAATAACTGACCTCTCCTTCACAGTCAAATTGATCTAAATGTCAAAGTGATAATAAGCCTATATTGGACTCTCAGATTCTTACTGCCACTGTTTGCATTGACAACATATAAACTATTAGAAAATGATATTTGGGGATTCAAGGTCAAATAGGGTAAAACTGGCAATATTTAGAAAATCATATGAGAATTCTAAATATCACATTATAGTTTTCAACCAAATACATCACATTTGACCTCACCTTTACATTTCAGAAACAAAACAAAAGGAACATATACAAACTAAAATTGGAAGTTAATACTCCCCAGAGAGATTGAGCTACCAAGGCAGAGGTTTGTACTCAGAGTGCTTCTTGTTTTTAATATAACATTAACATGAAATATTTTATAATAATATAAACTTTAATTTAATTTGAATGCACCTACTAAACTATCAAACTGGGAAATTGTATTGTTATCTTTATTAAAATATACACATCTGATTAAGCACTCAAACTCCTTATGCAGACAAAGAAAGGCAACTATTCCCAGTTAATTAAAATAACAGTTTATCCAGTTAAATATTTTAAAAACCAGACTGATATAAAGGCTTTTTCTTAGCTTCCTGAAAAATACAATAACAAAGTTGGTCACCATCTTTAAAAAAAAATAAAAAATAAAAAATAAAAAAATAAAAAACTGCTTTTGAAACTATGTGCTGCTTTCGTAGAGAGTGACCGGATCTATAGCATAGATTTATAACTCAGTTTATTTAGGCTTGACGGCATTTTGGTTGACATAGACACACAATCCAAACTGAGAGCTGTAACTAGTATAACTGCATGACTAACCTGTAATGCGAGCATGAAGAGTGTGGACCAATCTCTGGTCTTGTTTTCTTTGCCCTTCATTATGTTTGAGTGAGCCGTCGTCTGTTACCGCTTTGGCTTTTCTGTTTAATACTTTATCAAATATAGCCAGGATATCAGTGGGATATGCATTGAAATAGTCCCCAATCTGTGGGAAGACAGTACAATAACCATGACATTAGTGCAAATCCACATTAAATAATGAAGTGTAAGTACGTCAAAATAATAAATCGAGTGTTTGGATAAGAAATACTTAGAGGCTAAATATTCAAGAAAGAAAAACAATGTTTCAAAATGAACTGCTCACTGGATTCCAATTTAGAAAATTCCTTTTTAATAGTTTAACTGCATCTGTTAAAAATATATAAATAAACATTTTAAGAAAATTTTTCTTAAAATGCAAAAATTAAAAAAACCCAAGTACAGACATGTCAGCTAAGCCATAAAATAAGATACTTTTTGTCTTTTTACCAGATGGAGCATCATTGTTGAGAAACAAATCTGATCATGTGGGCCTGATCATTTTGTTAACATATTATTGTTCGTTCTATTAAAGACGAAAGAATGAGATCGCAGGTACGAGTGGCGTAAATGAGATTTCTCTGAGGGTTGGATGGATCCTTTACCAATACGGTGAGGAGTTCAGTCATTGGGGAGGGGCTCAGAGTACAGCCACTGCTCCTCCACATTAAAAGGAGCCACATGAGGCAGTTGCCTCCTGGGTAAGCTGTTCCAGCTGGACATGTCCTACCAGAGGAAGGTAGGACAGGGAGAGGGAGGTTTAGGCTTCCCTGTTTGGCCTGCTGACTTCAAATAAGCAGAAGAAAATGAATAGATGATTTATCGTTTTGTTACTCAAGCTGTCTGCCCTAATCTTAGTATATCACGTTTGCAATTTATTTTAATAATCTGGTGCCAAAAAGCAGCACTCCCCGCCACCCCAAAATAAGTTTTTTTTTTGTTTTGTTTTTTAAACTATGCTATCAGTTTTCAATTGATTGCAATATCCTCTAACTATACATAGTAAAATATCTTTGTATAGTCAATTGAAAATTAATTAATTTTAACATATTTAATTTCACTTTGGTCCACTGTAAAACCATATCTCCTTTATTAAGATATGGGATAGTAGCATTTAATGTTTAAATTTATCCAGTTTAAACAGCAATATATTAATTAACTAATAAGTAACCACTCTGTGCCCTAAGTCCCAAAAGGATTAATCTCTTGTCTCATGTTCGACGGTGTTCCTAGGGATGATTTTTGTGTATAAAAAGATTAATGAACTGAAGAAGACCCCTTTTATATGAGCGTTCACAGAGGCTAACCCAGAAAGCCCGGCTTAACAGAAAAAAAAAGTATCCCCACCGTCAATATACCCTAACTAAGACAAATAAAACTTTGATGTGAAACATTTAAAAGTGACAAATATGCAGAAAAAGAAGAAATCAGGAAGCAAATAGTTTTTCCACATGCCATTTGTTGATGGCATGATGAACTATACTCACAAATAGTGTTTTCTGGCAGTGTTCCTAAGCACATGCTGACAGTGCAGGGCCACCTGATGGCCTAAAGATCACAAGCTTCCAGACTTGTCACACAAAGACTTCTCCTGCTCCTCAGAATTATTTGATATTATGTACTGTATATAAGGAGATATAAAAAGTCTATATTCCATAATTTGTAGACATAGTGTTTGGCGGATGAATGGTGAAACCCTGCCCATGTTTATTTCTGAGAAACATTAGCTCTCCAAGCTCTTTTCAAACCTAATCATGTTACTGACCTGTTGCCAATGAATCAAATTAGTTGCAAAATGTTTCTATGATTGCTTCACTTTAGTATCATTTACTTTTCCAGCCTTTTTTTCTACAGTTCCCAACTTAAAATGTTAAATTTGGTCAGTTTAAACATTTGATATGTTTTTGAGGTGCTTTTGTGAATAAATGTGGGTTTGAGATTTAGAAATCATTGCCTTCTGTGTTATTTAAACTTTACACTCCAATGCCCATCATTTTAGGAACCGGGATTATAATAATACTATTCTGAGTTTAACCATGACACATGACTTTTTTTTTCTTTTTTAAACAGACATACAAATCTCAAGGAGCTTACTTTATCTATATCCCAAACACAGAAAACTGTGTTAACATTACCTCCATATTGGCCTCAAACAATGTCATGGCATTAACCACTAGAGGGCGATGAGTGTCTTCATTATCTTCAGTCTCTTCAATAAGTTGAAGAATGTCATTGTGATGATGATCTGTCAGATAGGTTTCAAACACCCGATCAATCAGGGCCTCCTGTTCCGGGCTTATCAACATGATGCAACAATTTGAATCCCTGCAAGAACATAAACAATGAAACTGACGTTTATAAAGACTAATGTTACAAACACGTTGTGTGCTGGTCTTAAACATCATTTTAAATATTCCATATCCATGTGCATTCACAGTTAAAGATCTCTCTTTATGCGTGCTCAGCAGTCAAACAAAGATGTTAAGCTGCTGGCTAGCTGCACACAAAAGACATGGAAGACAAACGTGGACAGGTCTATTGGCAGCAGAGTGGCCCACTCTCAATATTAATATTAATATTAAAAACCCGTAACATTAGAGAATATGATTAGGTTAAACACATAATTGCAACACAGCTATTGCACATTTAAAGAAGCCGTGTGGGAGAGAGGAAACAAAATTCAAATGCAATACTGCTCTATTAGAAGTTCTCAACTTTGTTCTAACTGCCTAAAACTGCGCGACAAAGCAACAAATAATGTTCCCATGTCTTCCCGGTGCTCATCAGGCAAAGACACAGATTTTAACTATAGACACTCCTACTGTCTACCCGAGAGTTACAAAAGGCACTTCTTTGTAATTGGATTAGTACACGTCAGTCACATTGATTTCAAACAAAAATACCACTTGACATGTCATCTATTAGCGTAAACACCCTGCATACTAAAAGTTGTATAACAAGTTTCTCCCGCTGATAATTACGTTCATATCCTGTCTGGCTGTAATAATGTAAAGGCTCACATACCGTTTGTCAGACACACGAACATTTTCTAATAAGAAACCCACTTGTACAGCCACAGCGACTTGTGCTGCGCGGGCTTACAGCTGTCTTCTTCTACGTCTAAACTGGCTTCTGCTTCTTCTTCTTCTTGTTTGTAAACGGTTGGCAAACAACAAAAGAGTTTGTCATTGCCGCCAACTGGTATGGAGTGTGTATCGGCATATTCTCATGCAGGAGCTTGGAACGGTGTGTATGGAGGGCTACAAGTGCCAAAAGGATATAAATAAATAATTACACAGTTAATTTAATATTTCATTTATTAATAATGAAGGTAGAAAATAATAATTCATTAAATATTGATTTATTTCATTTGAAACATTAAATAAATGTGTTTATTTGTAATTTCCATAAAATATTGACATATTTAGTTCAAACATTTTGACACTCCTGGCGCTGATGCAGTGTTCATGAATTTCAACCTTGCTCATCAAAGTAACAAGGCGGGGTCAATGCCGATTTGTTTAGTGGGCATTTCTCAATACCCAAAGCTCATTTGGACTTAATGGAACCCAGACTGTAAGTAATCTTTTAAAATACTACTGTTTTTGTGTCAGCAAATACACTTCTGATATTTTTTTTCTAGGCAACAATTTTGTGATGTAAACTTCAACCATCTGGGCAATCAGTCGAAATGAACCCTAAATGCAAAAGTGCTTTGATATTTTCGGAGATGTGGTTCCCGATGTTTCTTCCCACTAGTCTAACAGCCAGCTTTATGGTTGGAGCAGACAACACCCAGGTCCCTGCACACAAACCCTTGCTGACCCTCACCTCTTGAAGACTAAACAGGGATTACAAGGAACTCAGAAACATAGACTGCTAATGAACCTTAAATCGTGATCATAATGCATAACAATCACGAAAACACAAGAAACTCAAAATGCTGCGACCAAGACAAAGAACCATGAGAAAGTGTGCAACATATTGAGAGATGTTCTGCTTGTTCCTAAATTAAAATCAGAATAAGAATAACCTTATGTGTTAGGTTTGTATTTTACTTTTTCATAATCTACCCCCAAGTCAAAAACATACAAAAAACTACACTTTACATAGAAGTTATAATGTATTATATACATAATTGTACCCGTCCAGTGGTCAATTTCATAACCACGTGGCAGCAGGGATTTCACAGCACAAGCCTAACCCCAAGACTCTCTAATTCCCTCCCTGGTCACCCCTACATCACAGCCTAATGTGATTAAGAATGATCAGAGTGCTAAAACAGAGCTTTTCTTTATTTCCTCATAATAAAGCATTTTTATTCAGAAACAAAGATAAATCAAAATAAGTTTGATCAATATATAAATGAGAAATTTAGGTTGAGTAGTGAAAATGATTGTCTGTGAAAACTAATATCTAAGCAATGAGTTTATCATACACATAATCCTAAATTAGAGAAATAATGTTAACTGTTACACAGAGCCTGGTGTAGCCCCATTTTTCTTGTGGTAAAGAAAGATGGGTTTTGTTAGGATAAAATAAAGCTGTTTTTAATTATTTTTATACATTGCTATGTGCTCATTAAAGAGTTGGCACTCCATGAAATGAGGGTCAAAAGCTTAATTCAGCTCTATGACTGAATTGAATTATCATGACTGTCATGTAGACGTGCAGAGGGTTTTGCAAAACATTGTCACAGACAGCCGGGGGCCAGCATGAGAGGTTCGGATCCAAAAGCAGACACCATGAGCTCAGCTGCATTTTACACAAGTGATTTATTAAAGGGTGACAGTGAAAAACAAAACACCCTAATCCTCAGTGAACTAACCTAGTTCAGTTCAATTCAATACTTTATTGTCCCACCAGGGGAAATTAGTTTAGCTGCAAGGGCAACAATAAGAGTAAACAAAACAATAATAAAAAGGTACAAGACAGTTATTTGCCATTAAGGAGACGGGTTGCAGTGGGGATAAGGGAAATATGGAGTCTTTTGGTATTCCTCACAGGTACTCTAAAACAACGGCCAGAGGTCAAACTCATTGTAAAGTGGATGGTTAAAACAATTAATAGAATAAGCCTTTCCCAGCACATGCTTGTTATAAATGGCCAAAAATCCATCTTGCAAACGCCCTGAGAGTTTGCTGGGAGTTTTTACCAAAAGTCCCAACCAATTCTTGTTCTTCAGAGTCCTGTTACCAAACCAGGCAGCGATACAGAAAGAAAACATATTTAGTAAAACTTTTGTAAAACAAGGACAACATAATAATAATAATAATGGATTGGATTTATATAGTGCTTTTCAAGGCACCCAAAGCGCTTTACAATACCACTATTCATTCACTCTCACATTCATACACTGGTGGAGGCAAGCTACAGTTGTAGCCACAGCTGTCCTGGGGCAGACTGACAGAAGCGAGGCTGCCATATCGTGCCATCGGCCCCTCTGGCCATTTCAGATAAGACATTAAAAGATCTCATTTTTGATAAAAAGAACAGACTTTGCTGAACTTTTTTGGTACTGGCATCAGCATGAGGTTTAAAACATAGTTTGTGGTCAAGAACAACCCACTTGTAACTCTCCACAATCCCAATATCAGCAGTTTTAATGATAGTAGGTGATGAGCTATAAGAAGACTCCCTAAAATCAATAATCATGTCTTTTGTTTTTGACACATTTAATGATAGAAATGCCTTACCACACCAAGCAGCAAAATCTTCTGCAACCGGCCCATGGACTGTCTCGTTTCAATCGTTCTGGCCAACGACGTTGAGGTCAAACAACGTGCGACTGCTCTTGAGTGTCAGTCTGAGGTCCAAGCTGAGCATCTTACTTACTGAGCATCTTATAGAGAGCAGGTTCGATTCTTTCAAGGTTACTGCTGAATTCCACAAGGGGCTCCACAGGGGCTCTGGTCTGGTGTTTTTATGAACCACACAGGCCCGGTCAAGCACAGTGGATCCAGCAGGGGAGATAACTGCACCTTCTGGTGCTAATGTATCTTCGGAGATTATCTTACAACTGTCGTGGCTTGTGTTTAGGGCAGAGTGCAGGGGACAAAGTTCGATGGATTGTTATAGACAGTCGGAATGCAGACATTTTATGTTTGCAAGAGACAGGGTTGTCCAAACAGGACTTGGGAAAACTCAATTGCCTTAATGCAAGATTTTGGGAGTGGGGGAAATCAACAACTGATCCCAGCACAACTATAGTCAGAAGCACAATACCAGAAGGGGTTGCTGTTCTCTGGGACAAAAAATAGACCCTGTGATAAAGCCCATTAGATTGGATGTAGACTGGTGTATTGGTATACAATATACACAGAATAATAATAGCTTTATTATTCTTAATGTTTTTACTCCCTATGAATCTTTTGAAAATGAGGAGGAATACCTCAGTAGTCTGGCTTTTATTAATGCATTTATTCAAGATAATGATACTTACAGTATATATGTTGTGGGTGATTTTAATGCCTCTCAGACATCAGTTCTCGGTTTGCTAACCACTTAATCCATTTCTGTGAAGATAATAATCTTATCCTTTCTATCAAATTGTTACTGCCTCCAGATAGCTACATATACATAAGTGAAGCCTGGCATAGTACATCATGGCTGGACCATTGTATCTGTATAGCTGATGTACATGCAACTTTAGAAAACATGACTATTAAGTATGAGATAACTGTGTCAGACCATATATCTTGTGATTTTACTCTGAATGTGGAACCAATGGCAGCAACAACTGTAAATAATATAGCTAATATTGCTACCAATGTAAAATTAGACTGGCCAGCATTTAGTGACTCAACGCGAGACTCTGTCTTCAACGCAAAGTCACTAACAAGAATTGAGGCATGGAATGTAAGAACTTTCCTCCAATGCAGGAAACTGGCCCAATTGCTGCTTGAATTCAATTGGTACACAGTACCGGAACACATCAGAGGAGTAGGCATTGTCATGTCCAAGAAGGTGGGGACAGCTCTCGTAGGCTGGAAGTCTGTCAACGACTCACAGCCTGATTTCGCACAAACGTCACGAAGATCACGATCTTCCAAGTATATGTTACACTGCCAAATAGACCTTCTACGACCACCTTCATGAAGCCTTACGCGAAATCCCTCACCATGACATAGTCTTGCTTATTGGAGACCTAGACGCAAAGATCAATAAAGAGCGGCGTGGTTTGGAACACTTTATCAGTCCCCACGGTTTGGCCTCTTCAGTTGCAGCCGCTTATCACGTGGCCAGCCCCCTGAACTGTTAAGTCACCACCCCTCCCCACGAGGCCGACCCCCTGAACTGTTGAGTCGCCACCCCTCCCCACGAGGCCGACCCCCTGAACTGTTGAGTCGACACCATTCCCCACGAGGCCGGCCCCCTGAACTGTTTCACTTGCCCTCCTGGTCAACCCCCGGAGCTTCTTGGCTTTGGACAATTGAGCAGTCAACCTTCGGGCCGGCCTCCAGAATTGTATTTTTGGACTCTGTTTTGTTTTTGCTCGTTGCTCCGACTGCTCCAGTCGTGCTCCATGTTCCCTGTGTTTAGTGTCAAGTCCACATCTGTGTTATTCTTCCTGTTTTACTTTGACAGTCCCTTGTCTGATGTTAGCATGTCTAGTTTTGCTTCACCCTGGTGTCATCATGTTGATTGCTCCCAGCTGTGCTCCCCTCATCTGTCTCATTTCCCTCAGTTTATTTTAGCTCTGTGTTTCTCTCTGTCAGTTTCACATTGTCCCCTCACCATGCTGTGTGTTTCTCCTTCTGTGTTCCCTGAGATTTCTGTCCCTAGTTTCCAGGTTTCCCAGTCACGGTATTACAGAGTTTTTAGTTTTAAGTTTATTTTTGTGAAAATTATTCAACTGCTATAAAGCAGCCTCTTTGAGTTTATTCCTCCGTTGAGTGTCTTGCGCTTGGGTCCTACATCCTGCCTACCACATAGCCATACCCTGACAAAAAGTGCGATTATTCTTTTGTTGTATTTCAACACTTCTGTTTCATCAAAGCAATTTTTTTTCTGTTTGGGAGTTAAACATTTTACAGATTTCAAAAATTTTGAGAAAATGTAAATTATGTCAACCAGCAATACTTTTAGCACTGCCCAGTATTGAAATC